TATAGCTTTGTTTGACGCCTTCACAAACACCCCCTCCATCTCGCACATCTCTTTTCTTTCACACGTCTTTGAGTATCTTCCTCTGTCTTGCTCTCTTCTCATGCGGTCGTTGCGTCTTTCACTTTCTGCCACGGTCCCTCTGCTCATTTACATTTTCTCAGGGTTTGTCGTTCTGCTTTTCGTCTTTTACACTACACACTCTCATCTCTTGGGCATAAGCCACAATTCTGCATTTCTCTTTTTTTAAAATTTGCACAGATCTCCTCTTTTTTTCAGTCTCATTGCAACATTATCTTTTCTCTCTGCTCTGCTGCCGTTTGTTAAGTCTGTCACACTTTAATGACAKTTCCACTTTGTTCAAAGTGTCACAGTCACTTCTGTGCCGAGTTATTCCTGCCGTTCATTTATCATCCATATTATTCTTTCCTTATTTCCTCCCACTGCTCTTTAGAAATGATTGCTTTCCCTGATGTTGCTTTTAGGTCTTCGGTTTTCAGGTAAACGCTTGAAAAAGTCTGCAGAAGACTCACTTATGTTTTATTTTGCAGCTTTTATGGGCTCARTATTTCCTACAAAGCCACAGTATGTCAGTCTCATTTATGAGCCAGAACTGTTCATCATCAAAGTCTGCGTAAAAGTTTTGATTTTAAACATTTATTGCCATCAGTAAAATAGTTTTTGAGTGTTTCTCAATTCAAAGCCTTCATAYATGTAATCATCATCTCCTGAGAACTATAAGTGTAGAGTTTTTTTCCCCCACAGGCGAAGCTTGTGTTTTTCACAGTTTAAGGGGATCATGCAGAGTAATTATGAGTTGTCAGTATCTTCCCTTCAGTCGATAGCAGTCAGAGTCAAGCTAAGCTAATAACTATAAGACAGTGATGTCAGTGAAGGATGATGAGGCACTCAGTTCATCAGAATCAGATTCACAAATATATGAACCCTACAGAACAACTTGTTCATCATATGACTGACATCAGTTAATACGTTATGAGTTGATTAAACTTAACGTTTACAAAGCAGGTACCAAAAACCAGAGTTGTAAAGTAACTAAGTACAAATACTTTGTTACTGTACTTGAGTAGAATTTTTGGGTATCGGTACTTGACTTGAGTAATTATTTTTCAGCCTGTTTTTTACTTCTATTTATTACATTTTCACAGAATTCTCTGTACTTTCTACTCCTTACATTATTAAAAAAGGCAAGAAGAAGAAAGTCGTTACTTTTATTTCATTTTTGCTTGTTTTCATTTTATTTCATTCCAGCTTATTATTGAAAAAAATAAAAACTATCCATGTAAATTGTGCCTCCTAGATAGAGTGAATTTATGGTTGAATGAGAAGTTTAAATATATAAAACTCTGATAGTGTATTAGTTTGTACACAAACAAATCATGTCACACTCCAGCAGGACATAATCATTCAAATAAAAGGACTGTACTTAAGAAGTATTTGTATTTCATGAATTATATTATTACATTTGGCCGCAGCCCTCAGATAGATTTTCATTTTGGGGAAAAGCTTTGTGCAGCCTTGATATATGTATATAAACTGAAACAGCTGGACTAGTGCATCCTAAATTTAACATCAATTAATGATTTTAATACAACTTAGTCATTTCTGCATTTTTTGGGGAAGTCTCCTCCTAATAAATATCCTCACAGAAAATCTAACTACTCATTTTAAATCAATACTTTTACTTTTAATACTTAAGTACAAAAATATCAGGTACTTTATGACTTTTACTCAAGTAATATTCCTAAAGGAGACTTTAACTTTTAAGTAAGTAATTTTGTGGTAAGATACTTGTACTTTTACTCAAACATCACTTTGTGGTACTTTATGCAACACTGCCAAAAACGCTGCTCTTGRCTTGCTAACTGTAACTTTTGTTACTTCTTCTGCAGCTCAGAGTAGTCTCTGAGCTCAGGAGCTCCCCCTACCCTGAGCCTGAAAACTGACAGCCTCTCCTGGTGTCTTTTCTCAGTCTTTTCAGCTCACAGAACATGTAACACAAATGTATATTTATTTAATAAACATCAGCTAAACTGTTAAAAAGAACAAAACTTGGAAAAGGAGTGTGGTTGCGCAATCTGGAGGCGGAGCTTGATTTGACTTCTAGTCCGTCTCATCCTGTTTGAACAGGAAATGAGGAAATTCAGTGATTTTAAATAAGAAAAAATATCAAAAAATTGTTTGTTTATTTGAAAATGTGTTTATAGTACAAAACATTATATAAATATCACAATTTAATGTGTGTAGTATTGTTTTCTTTTAACTTTCCATGACTTCACACTGCTATGAATTATTCTTACAATCTTTAAAAAAGAGATTTTGAAGATTACGTTAAAACACATTTATTGAGAAAGTGATGCAGGCCCAGATGTTTTTACTGAAGAGCTCGTTTGGTCCTTTGAAATGAAGCATCACAAAATTAGGGCTCATATAAAAAGGAAAAAGCCATTTCCCATTAGGATTACTTAATTTTAGAGCAAGTTTTAATATGTTTTGATTCCGGCAGACAGGTGATGAAGATGCTGCTGCTGAAAGATGATAAAAAAACATAAAAACAACAGTTGTGTTTCTCTGCCCTCCTCTTCCCTCCATCCAACTGGTTTCTCACTCTGACCTCATGTGTTCATATTTTTCAGTTTCATACTCTCAGTGTTCACTCTCTCTGCCATCCCAGCCTGGTTTAATATGTTCTTTTATTATTATTTTATCATGCTTCATAATTCTCTTTGCCATGTTTTTTTTATTACGCACGTGTGGTCGTGTAATTCTTCAGAATAATATCACCAAAGGATTGTGACATGAAACCACTGCTGCAGCTCTTTTGCAGTTTGGTTCCTGTTTAGAGTAAAGGCTTTATTGATGCTGCATCTGTTTTTCCATCGGACTCACCACCTCTCTGTGAGGCCAGAGGTCAGGGTCAGCTTGATTTGTTGCTGCTCTTTTAACGACTGCAGCGAAGTGCTTTGCAGAAAGCTAAAACAAAAAAGGTTACCGCTTTAGAATAAGGCTCCCCTTATAGATGGCTTATAAATAGTATATAGATAGATTATTGATTCATCTGTAAACACTTTATAAATCATTATTAAATGTTTATTAAGGATTAATTAAGAATGGGAAAGAGATAAAACTGTCCGATCTCTTGCCAAATAGTGAGCCAAATTTGTTCCTGTACATATTACTAGGTTTGTAAGCACAATTATGCATTGGAAACACATATTTAAAAATAATATTGTACTATGTTACTAAATTATACATATTAACAACTTTCAAATGGAGCCTTATTGTAAAATGTAAAACAGTAGGTACACTATTTATTAATGACTAATAAACTTGTATAAATGCCATAAAAGAGCCATATTGTAAAGTATAAAACAGTACACTATTTATAAGACCCTTTTATGGCATTATTAGTCATTAATAAATAGTATACTGTTTTACACTTTACAATAAGGCTCCCTTTGATTACCATGGATATGTATAATGTGGTAATACAGTACAATATTATATGTAAAATATGTGTTTTCCATACAGTATTGTGCTTACAATGTAGTAAACTAGTCTGAAATGTTTATTAAAGCAG